CCCGGCGATTCACATCTAGGATTGCGCGAGGAGGTAAGCGCGATGGAGTGCCAGGATTTCGTGGACTCGGCGGCGTACGCAGCGCTGCTCCGGCGTTGCGCGCTGGCCAGGGACGCGGAGCAGGGGCGGCGAGTCCACGCCCACATCGTCAAGAGCGACCAGGGCAACTCGATGAGATTCGTGGGAAGAACCGGCCACGAGAAGCTCCGATTCCTCAAGAACCTGGCAGTGGAAATGTATGGCAAATGCGGGCTTGTGGAAGAGGCCAAGGAAGTGTTTGATGGGATCAAGCGCTGGAACGAGTACTCGTGGACGATGATCCTCTCGGCGTATGCCCACAATGGGCATTTTCACGCGGCACTTGGATTGTTCTGGAGGATGCTGCTGGAGGGGATTCGCGTCGATAGCTTCACTCTCAGCATCGCCATCACTGTTTGCTCGGATCTCGGCGATCTCTCCTCCGGCCAGAGCGTCCGAGCCGTGGCAGTGGAGAGTGGACTCCACTCCGACTTGGTGGTGGCCACCGCGCTCGTCAATCTCTACGGCAAGTGTGGAGCTGTGCGAGCTGCCAGGGAGATTTTCGACTCGATCGAGCTCGAGGTAAGAGACTCGCATTGCTGGAACTCGATGCTAGGAGCGTACGCGCAGCATGGTTTTACTCGAGAAGCCATGAGACTCCACCACGAGATGGACTTTCAAGGTATGAGATCTAAAGAGGCTACGCTTGTGACTCTTCTAAGTTCTTGCTCGACTGTCCAGCAGGGGGAGAGGACCTACAGCCGGATCAGAGCTTGCGGTTTCGACTCGGGTATGATCGTCCAGACTGCCGTGCTGACGATGTATGGGAGGTTTGGAAAGCTCGAGCAGGCCAGGGAGGTGTTTGATGCGATGCCGGAGAGAACAGTGGTGGCTTGGAGCGCTCTCATCGCGGCCTGCGCTCAAAATGGTTGTGAGCGAGACGCGTTTCGGATCTTTCGGCTCATGGAGCTGGAAGGAATGAGGCCGGATCACGTCACCTTCGTCAGCATGCTCGCGGCGTGTGGAAGTTTGGAAGAGGCCAAGACGATCCACGAGAGAATCGCCGCTGCCGGATACGAGAGCTTCGTCATGCTGGGAAACTCCCTCGTCAGCTTGTATGGGAAGTGTGGCAGCATCCAAGACGCCAAGCACGTCTTCGACAAGATCACTGCCAGGAACATCGTGACTTGGAACTCCATGATCGCGACGTACGCTCAGCAGGGACGCGGCCGAGAAGTTTTGGAGCTCTACGAGCGGATCATGGACGAAAAGCTTGTGAAGCCAAACGTGATCACGGTGGTGAGCATCTTGGACGCTTGCGCGGACATGGCCGCGCTGGAGAGAGGCAGCGAGATCCATGCAACTCACTCGAGTCTGTCCCAGGAGATCGAGTCGGACATCGTCGTGAAAACCTCGCTCGTCAACCTCTACGGGAAGTGTGGCCGAGTGGCATCGGCTCGAGCAGTGTTTGACAAGATCTTTGCTCGAGACGTGGTGGCCTGGAACACGATGATCGCAGCTTACGCCCAACACGGACACGACACACAGGCCATAGAGCTCTACTGGGACCTGAGCTTGGAAGGCGTCACTCCAAACGACAGTAGCTTCGTCAGCATCCTTTGCTCGATCAGTCATGGCGGTCGAAGAAGCCGGGATGCTGTCTCGCAGCTCTCGTCCATCCGTGAAGACTACACGAACTTCACTCCAAAGGTGGAGCACTACTCGTGCCTGGTGGACACGTTGGCTCGAGCAGGATCGCTGAGGGAGGCCGAGGAGCTCTTCTTTGCGATGCCGTGCCTTCCAACCGAGGCCGTGTGCTTCTCGCTGCTCAACGCTTGCAAGGTTCACGGTGACTTCGATCGGGCAGCCCGTGTTGCGGAGCGTTCGTTCCAGCTCCACGGCCTAGTGGGAAACTCCCAGGCACTGGTGATGCTGTCGAGCATTTTCTCGTCCGCTGGGAGGGACAAACTCAAGGATGGTTTTGTTGGAGACGTTCCGTCCGAGGAGTCGGAGAGTTTCATCGAGATTGACAAGGTGGTACATGAATTCTCTGCTGGTGATGGATCGTCTCATCCCAGGGCTGAAGAGATCCGGCGAGAGCTTGCTAGATGTGTGCTGGATGAACAGGATTCCCGTCGCCACCACAGCGAGATGCTGGCAGTCGGTCTTGGATTGATCTCCACGCCACACGGTAGGGAGCTGCAAGTGGTTAAAAAATCTAGAGCTTGCTGGGATTGTCATGCAGCTCTTAAGATCATCTCCGAGAGAACGAGGAGGAGGATTGTGTTGCGAGACGAGAGCAAGTTTCACCACTTTGAGATAAGCGGTGCCTGTTCCTGTAAGGACTGCTGGTAACGTCTTAGAGAAAGAAATAGTGCAACCTAAGAATGATGAGACTTTAAACTATACATTTAGCGTCCTTCTTCCTCGTTCCTCCAAAACGTTACTCAAATGGATTTGGCGAGGACAAGGTGGAGAATTTGATAAAGTAATAAACTGCATTGCATTGCATAATGTCTCATGCTTCTCGATGGGCACACTGCGAGACTAGAAACAGAAGATAGATAGATTTAGATCCGAAGCTCTTGAGGTCACGAAAATGTGACCGATTCCCAGCCCAGCCAGAGTCCCAATGGCGAGTAGCCATTAAAAACTTGCGTGCCTCTTCTTCCTTGAAACATACCACGTGCGATCGCTAAAAGAAAACCTTCGTTAGTTGGCGATGAACTGGGAAGGGCGCGCCAAGCTGATACTGTTGGCTATTCTTGCGGCGCCGCCACAAAACGTGCTCGTCGTATCGGCCCAAACGACTGTGGTAAAACCGCGCTGCTCAAGCATTTGAAGAAGGTGTTCGACACTATGCTAGATAGCAGCTGCTTGATGCTCACCCGGGGCTTCAGCTCCTCAAAAACACCCATGAACACAGTTTGGGCCCTGAGTTCATGGTGACGTGATGATGTGGTAGATAGTGAAGGACCGTAGAACTCGGCCAGCGTCTCCGGTTTGCTGAGAAACTGCAGCAGATAAGAGAGGATCCAATGGCGAAACCCACAGCACTCTTGGTGATCCTGCCACTAGGGGGCGAAATCTCCAAACCGAGCAAAGCAAATGACAGCAAGGTCTTTTCCAGGACGTCGTCGTCGGCATCTCCTTTGGTAACGTTGAGGAGATTTGGCAAAATTCCACGACGTCATCGTCGGTATCTCCTTGAGGAGCTTCACTTTTGCCAAATCCAAGCAGCTTAATTAACCTCTTTTCGATGCCTCAACTGTCCTGCTTGACTCACCTGGTTCTTTAAGCCACTCAGGAATCTCGCTAAACTTCTCATCTTATCCATGCCCTCAGCATGGCATACCGGATGCAGGAGCTTATAACTCAAGAGATCTTCACCAGCAGGTGCCATTTCGTAGACTGTAGCACTTGTATCCAGCGCACCAGGTGCCAGCGTACGACATGCTCTTCGTAGAGATAGAAAGGGCATCTCACTTAGCTTCAACTGTCCGCCACAGCATTTATCCTGGTGCCTAGCATGTCGTTGAGCTAGGGTTCGTTCTCCCAATCGGAGATGTCTTGATACATGAGTTCACCCTCGTTCACGTCCCACCTTTTCGCCACCTTTGCATACACGGAGTCAGGCGAATCCTCAATGTCACTATATGGCCATGGTACATCGGCTGGGAAACACTCCTCCTGGCGCTGGACCCACTTGGCTGCTAGTTCTTCATCCAGAAAATCGCTCAGCTCATCCACCCTCCATTGTTTCTCAAGATCTCACTCCAGCTCCAGCACAAAGTCACATAGGAGGTCATCCTGGCTACCGTAGTCACAGTCTCTAGAAGGTCAGCAAGGCCACTAGAGCGCGGCTGCAGGCGCGGGCTTCTATGTTCGAGAAAGCGGACATAGGTGAAAGATATTATGCCAAGTTTGTCACACTTGTCAATGGCTCGTGCCTGGGCAACCTTTTCCCTGGACAAACTTTGGTCAAACAAAACGTCCTGGGAATTCACAGTTACCATCGAGGAAGGGCCTTCATCCATGCTAGCCCGTCTCCTTCCGAATCTTCGCATTCTCCTTGTCATCCTTCTGAAGCTTGACTGTTAGATCTGAGAGGTTAGGCCAGGCATTTGCTTTAATAATAAAAATTCATCCCTAAATAATCTCGTTTAATTGAGTTGAATTTATACAAGGGTTTTCTGGTCGATTATGCTAATTATGAGTTTTCAGAATTGAGCCTACTAGGTTAGCCCCTTGGCAAACCAGTATATCGTCCTGTACATTCCCATAAGATCTTAGTAAAGAAAAATAAAGGGTACCCTAAATCGAAGTACTTTTATTCATACGAATATTCCTGTGACAACGGTAAAGTCCGAACTGGACGGAGCCATCATTATGTTCCCGGTTGAATGAATGCTGGCTTGCCGCTGTTATGATCATCACCGCCAGTGATTCCGGAAGTCTGGATTCCAAAAGAGAGTCGACTAGAAGATCTCAAAACCCCACTCTTAATCAGGGCGATGAACGATCAGTGAAAGTGTTCGATCACTTTCTTTCTTGTTGGAAGCTAGCTGAAATCCCCAGAACACCACTGCCTCGATAACCAGAAGAAAAGAAATTCCAGAAGGTGATCGCGCTGCGAACAAACAAAGCGTGTTGTGATTTTGACACGCTGTAACAAAAGTCTTTACTGGTACCTGATCATACTGTTCTTGGGCAGGGGAGCTCTCTGGCACAAGAAGGAGAAAAAAGAACAAGGAACTGGCCCGCTATGGCAACGCAGCAGCAACCTTGAGGTACTGCTACTACTACTGCACCACTTTTTTTTACACCTTTTCTTGCTTGAATGCGACCCATCCATCTATCATCCATGCTTAAGAGTTTTTTCTAGAATTTCTTGCTCTACTTGTCACATCTCCCAAGAACAAGAAGAATCCCTGTTCGTGATCCTCTTATATCACTTGCAAAACACATGTTAAAGCTCTTGATCGAGAGAGAGAGAGAGAGATCGTCTTTTCCTTCGCAACAGACACTTTCGTTTTTATCTTTTCCTTGTTGGCTTTCTCTAAACTCTCAGCAATCGATGGGATGATCGATCGAGACATGGCAAGTGAGTGAGCTCTTGATTGGCCGAAGATCTCTTCCAGGTGGGTTTTTGCGCGAGTGTGTGGAGAGAGCGAGAGAGAAAGAGAAAAGAGGAGAAAGATCTTTTCTTGCTCATGAAAAAACTTTGTCTTGTTCTAGAACAGTCAAATCCCCTCCTCCACCAATGGCGAGCTCGCCTTGATCGTGTTCCAGGCATGGCATAGAGCGAAGACGAAGAACAAACCAATCACACCCAAGTAAGTCCATAGCGATCGATCATTCTTCTTTGTCGGTCAAGCCAGAAAAACCAAATCTTTCTTTCTCCCCGTCCTTTCGTTCTCTCGAGGCGCTTCCACTGATCACTGATCTTTCAGCCGGGCTCCAGGGATCGATCGAGAGAGCCCAAGCATTGGAGCGAGAAAGAATGGAAGAACCAACAGCGATACCACCACCACAACCGTCGTCAAGCTCGCAAGAACAAGGCGGCGCCAGCTCGAGCTCGAGCGCCGGGCAAGCACTCCGGCGGCAGCGAAGGAGCCCGGGGCCGAGCCCACTGGGCCGAGAGATCGTGATGAGCACGAGCACCATCACGAATCCGCCAGAGCCAGCGGCGTTCGTGGTGGAGAGGGGGAGCAATGGTGGCAGCGGCGCTGGTGGGTTTGTGCGAGAGATTAGCAGCTCGGGCGGGAGTGGATCCTCGTCGCGAGTGAGCCCGCTGGATGCAAATGGGAACAAGCTGGAGAGATGGGCGAGCTTGGCGTGGAGGGATTTGACGGTGAGCTTGGATGGCAAGAACAAGGTGATCCAGAGCTTGACTGGGTACGCGACGCCAGGGACGCTCACCGCGATCATGGGTCCTTCCTGCTGTGGCAAGAACCATCTCTTAAAAGCTCTCGCGGGTATGATCTCTTCTCTTTATCCGCCATAGCTATAGCTACTTCTTCCATCAGCTTTCTTTAATCTGCCACAGCAATAGCTACTTCTTCCATTCGTTCTTTCTCGCTCTCTTTGGATTCTTCTTTTCTAGCTGCGATGCTAGGCTCTTCTTTCTGCCAGGATTCTTCGTTCGTGACTCTTTTTTAACTTTGTTCGTTTGTTTGCTTCTTTGAAGTGAAACTTCTGCTAACTTTGCGATATTTTTTTATTTTTCAGGACGATTCCCAAGCCATGCCAAAGTCTATGGTGAGGTACTGCTCAACGGTCGGCCTAGATATCTCAAGTATGGAACTTACGTAAGTTTTCTTCTCTAGATCAAGATCATCAAACTTGACTATAAGCTTGCAATGGGAAAAATCGTTCTTTTTAGGCCTACGTGAGCAAAGGCGAGCAACTTATCGAAACTCTGACTGTCCGCGAGACGCTCTACAACGCGGCTCTTCTCCAGCTTCCAAAATGTACGCCGTGCTCCGAGAAAACGGCCGTGGTGGACTCGGCAATCTCCAGCATGGAGCTCGAAGGCTATGGCTCCATACCCGTCGGAGGATCGTTTCTCGTCAAGGGTCTCACTCCCGGCGAGAGGAAACGACTGACGATCGCCATGGAGCTTCTCACAAGGCCGACTCTCATCTTTTGCGACGAACCGATCGACAATCTCGACAGGTATCTATGAACTTTCTTAAAACTCTTTTGATCCTTGGAGCAGTGTTTCAGCGTTCCTGCTGGTTGCTTCTCTGAAGAAGCTTGCGAGCAATGGTTGCACCGTAGTGATCACCACCGAGCGGACTTGTACCGAGGTGTTCCATCTCCTCACCACCATTTGCTTGCTCTCCAAAGGAAAGGCTATCTTTTTTGGAGACACTGCTGCCTGTCTCGAGGTACTGCCGTTTTATTCTCAGTGACAACTTTGTTCTCTGTATTGACTGTTCAATCGCCTTTGCAGCTTTTTGCCAGTGCGGGATTTCCTTGCCCGTCCTTGCAAAATCCCACTGACCATTTCCTTCGAGCTCTAAATGCCGAGTTTGAGAAAGTAAATCGCATCACCAAGCTTAACCAGGCAAGCAAGCTTTTTTCTCGTGTTCTTCCACAAGGATCAAACTTTCCTTCGCGAGAAATCTTCAAAGTTCTTCCAACTTACTTACAAATTCTTCTTGACAGGACTATGAGCAAGGAGCCTCGCCATGGCGAAGATTGGACGCGTCAGTAATCACTAGAACGCTAGAAACCACTTACAACGCATCGAACGAAGCCGCTGTTGTCGAAGCTTTGGTCCATCAGCTCTCCGAAAAGGTTTTTAGCTTTGATCTTTCTCCATTCATTCTTTTCTCATTTGGCTTCACGTAGGAGGGACCATTTCTTAAATCGCGAGGCCAAGCCAGCTTCACGACCAGAGTGGCAGCAGTGACTTATCGATCGTTCCTCAACATGTCGAGGTGTTTCACGTACTTCTGGCTCAGATTTCTTCTCTACTTGCCACTCTCCGTTTGCATAGCCACCATCTTCTACGGCCTTGGCGACTCCCCACAGCTTGTAACTGTGAGTTCATTCGATCCTTTCATGAAAATCTGTGATCGTCTCGCTAAAATCGTGACTTGTCCAGGTGCGAGCTTCGGCAATCTTTGCTATGGTCTCTTTCTTCTCACTGCTCGCCATTGCCGGCGTTCCAGCACTTGCTAAAGACATCAAGGTAGCTTTCTCTTCTAGCTTTTGTATGATCGATCGATCATTCCTCAGGTTTATCGGCGCGAGAGGAAGAACGATCACACGAGCGCTGGAGTGTTCGTCCTCGCAAACTTCGTGTCGTCGTCTCCATACTTGCTGCTCGTCTCGGCTGTTTGCTCGTCCGTGTGCTACTT